CTCTTCTCTTCTCTTCTCTTCTCTTCTCTTCTCTTCTCTTCTCTTCTTCCTTCCTTTAGAAGGAAGAAACGTTTTAATTTGCAAACTGCGATGGGGAGCAAGTCGGAGCTGAGCTTGAGACATTCTTGAAGGATACCGTTCTGCCCTTGGAGTCGGTCAATCGACCATCCTGGATGGAGCGGACTGAAATTCTTTTTACAAAGATCCTAGTAGTACGGCCAGGAGCCCGTAGTGGCGTCCTTGCTCCTAGTAGCGATGCCCTTTGTTACTAGTAGCGTACTTGTTCCTAGATCCTTTTGAAATTGTTCTTGGCAGAAAGCTTTCTTTTTCAGGAAGGCGGCTGTTCTTCTTTTATCCTACTCAGGGGCGTCCTTTCTTCCAACCTACTAGCGATGGCCTCCAACCTAAGAGCCAGGGCCTAGGGTTCTGCTTTGTGTTCAAAGTCAGGCCCTTTGCTCCTCGAGGATCTGCAAACAGAGGTTGAAGACATCGGGGTGCGCTTTCTCAACCTGAAACGATCTCTTCGTTTCCAAAGTCGAACCATTCGACTATTCGAAAGGAGTCTTAAGGAGTTACCTTGAAAGAAAACGGAAAAAAAGGTAAAAGCTCTAGTCCAAAGAAAAAAGAGGATCAATCCTTCCCTCCAAATTCCGTTATTTCCCGTTGGTCACTCCGTATTGAACATCTTCACATCAGTACATCAGTCCCACCCCGGCACAAACACATCGCGTTTGTACAACTGCTGCATGCGTCAGGTGTTGCATGCGTCGCTTCAACCCGTCCACAACACAAGTGCAAATGTCCTTGGAGGCCATCGCTAAGGTGTTTCGCGTTTGATGTCCAATCATCTGCAAGTTCTCCATGCTCGAATGCAAAAAACGTTCAATTGGCGGAAGCAGCCAGCTACTGCTGACTTGGTCACGCAAGGCGCACCAGGAGTCCAAATTTTGCATGTGCCGCGGAGAACTTCCGTTCCATCCATCACCGTTCCCTTCACCGACAGCAAATCTGGAACAAGCGAACACAACCTAAGAGCGATCGCTCTTAGGTTGGAGCCCATCGCCATTAGGAGCAAGGACGCTACTAGGTGCTCCTGGCCTTACTACTAGGAGCAAGAAGCTACTAGGTTGGAGGCCATCGCCAGTAGGGCTATAAGGAGCTTATTGTTTCTAATAGCTTCTTGTTACTACCAGTAAGGCACTTGTTACTAATAGCATGGTTTTTCACCCCGAACTCAGGGTGTTCCGCACCTCATCGAAGAGGACCAGGCTGTAAGGCCGACGTCGCACTCCGTCTGTGAGCTGGCTTTCCTGTCAATTCAAACAAGAAACAGAAAGAAACGAAGAAGGAAAAAGGAAAACGGCAAGGTCTAAAGATTCAATACTAGAAACCAGATCCATCATGCGAAGGGTTCCTCTGCACCTGCGGAGTGGTTCCAAAATGATAGAGCAATGTTAGCTTGGCCAATTTGTGATGACAGCTTGTGGCTAGTTAATCCAGCTGTCTGTAGACCCACCTGCCTCATCGTAGCCCACGTAGCCAGGAGGCGAACCAATCAGCTTCGACACCGTGTGTCTGGGCGAAGGCTGTGCCGCGAAGGAGATGGGAAGGAGCGAAGAGCCATGTCGTTCGTTGTGTGACAAAAACCAAAAAGGAGCGAAGACCCGTGTGGCCTCCAACCTAGTAGAGTCCTTGCTCCTAGGAGCGATGCCCTTTGTTACTAGTAGCGTCCTTGCTCCTAGTAGTAAGGCCAGGAGTCCCTAGTAGCGTCCTTGCTACTAGGAGCGATGGCCTCCAACCTACTAGCGATAAGCCTTGTGGCCTTTCGGTGAACATCGCTCCACTTTCAAACCGGACCTCTTCCTTTTCAACGAAAGGTCTATCATGGTCTAACGGCTAACCGTCTGACACAGAAAAATAGAGGCCATGTTCAGACCTTCGCCTTGTATATTCTCATCTTGTGATTTTCTTCTAGACTTTGGTGACCTTCGTATCTTGTTTGTCCTGTTTTTCTGTTAGGTCTTGAAGTCACCTCATGCTTTTCTGACAAGAACGCTCTTTTGGAGTTCGGGACAACTGAAACACTCCATGAAGGCTGTCATGACCTGTCTCGCTCAGTTCCTCACCTCTCCATGAATTCCTGAGCGAGCGTGGCTGTGAAAGAATTGTGTATGAATCATTGATGCTTCACTTGTTCTTTGCCTTTTTACCTCCTTCCAATTGGCCCCACTGGAGATGCAGAAAGTGCTGTTGAGAGAAGAACGCATTTTCTGCATCACCTGGTGGCCTTTGGTTGTGGTGCTGGGTGAAGCCGCTTGACGTTCCTGCCATTTGGCTTAGGAAGGATCTGACGCTACGAACGGGGCTCCTGGCCAAGTTGACATGAGAACATACGACTGCGGTTGCCACCCAGTGACGCTCATGTCCAGGCGGATCATAGAGTCCTCCTTTCCAAAGTAAGCGGCGGAGAGAGCCTCACGTGTGAAACGTCTTGTGACGATCGTAGCGTCCTTGCTCAGAATATCCAAATAGAAACAAGGGCATCGCTACTAGTAACAAGTGCCTTACTAGTAGTAACAAGAAGCTACTAGGAACAAGTGCATCGCTACTAGTAACAAGTGCCTTACTAGTAGTAACAATGTTCACTATTAGAAACAAAAATTAAATAATACTAAATAGAACCCATGTTCGCTACTAGTAACAAGAGATGGACATGCCCACGTTCCTCGTAGCGTCGGATCGCTCCTAGTAGCGATGCCCTTTGTTCCTAGTAGCGTCCTTGCTCCCAGTAGGAAGGCTAGTAGCGTCCTTGCTACCATTCAATTCCTTGACGTCCCTATGCCATCTCTTTCCACTGCGGGCAATGTGACACTAGCAGCTTCAGAAATCAACTTCAGTGGAAGGGGAGGAACGGAAGAGCATCTTCTTCAATCGCCAACTTCTTCTACAATGTTACTAGTAGCTTCTTGTTACTACTAGTAAGGCACTTGTTACTAGTAGCG